ATGAGTATACAACTACTGGACTGTTAATCTGTGGTTGGCATCATGGTTAGGCTGAAGAATTTTGCATCTTGTAGCTCACTCACCCCTCCAACATTACCGAAGCACCATCGGGTACTCCTATGTGCCAGAATTTTACATCGAAACGTACATCCATCGACTTACTCCGTCGATTCTTGGGCCCTCTTCTGCCCAATCCACTGCTATAGTGTCATGGAACTGACTTGGATCTACTGACTTTCGTATTTCTACTAAAAGGAACTCGGGTGTCCTGATTGTTTCCCAAATGTCAAACAAGGCTAATTTTATGTAAACCTATCTATTTCTGTTTCTACTGCTTTAATATGAATTATTGTTCTCGCTTGAAGTCTTATTTGAGTATATACTGAAATGTTGGGGTACTTGAAGTCTAATTCCCTTTAAAAGGGGCCTTGTTGTCCAAAACATACTGAAAGTATCGATACTAGCCCAAGTGTATCGATACTCCTACAAAAGTTTCGATACTTTCTACAAGTATCTATACTTTTAAACATTTTGAACCGCCTAGTTTTGATACTTTTTGAGAGTTTCGAAATTATGACCCAAAGTATTGATACTCTTGAAAGAGTATCGATACTCTTACCCATAAACTCACGAGTTTCCCAAGAAGAATAACAAGTTTTGATATTATCTCTCTAGTATCGAAACTCAACCTGTAAAGAGCATAAAATAGGTGCAAAGACTCATGTTCTAATATCCCAGAGACCTTAGTGAGGTCCCCAAACATTATTAATGTTTTATGAAGATACAAAGGAGCATAAATAGGGCTTTAAACATATTTATAACTCTAAAATGTGAAATCTACCACGGGAGTGCTTTAAGCTCATGCAACCTACTATATTTCATCTAAATGACTTACAAATGGTATAGTTGAGTCAAAAGTGAGTTACCTTTGATGCTAAACTGCTAAAAACACCTAATGCTCAACCAAGGGTGAGTTTCTCCTTTCATTTAGCTTTGGAGCTTTCTTTAACCTCCCTCACTAAACAAGATTCAAAAAAAAGATTACTAGTTGAAAGTGAAGGCTAAGAAAGGTTTAGAAACTCTTTTTATAGCTAGGAAACAATGAAAAAGAGTTGGATTCTCTGGATTTCTTAAACCCTTTCAAAACCCATTTTTGGCATCCATCACCAAACCTTACAAGAGTGGGCTTGAAATGAATCTTAAGAAGAGAATAGTGTGGTTCTTACCTTGGTTTAAAGGGATAAACTGGAGATAAACTAAAGCTCCCACCTTTGCTCAGGTTTTCTAAGAATGAAGGTGAAGCATTGGAAGAAGAAAATGACAAAGGAGAGTTGAGAAAATGAGAAAGGGAAAACAGATGTGAAATCAGCTTCAATTAAAGGATTTCAAGGTTTATTTTTGAACAAGGGTATAATTGCTTTCTTGGTCCCTTTAATTCTGACTGCAAATTAAAAACACCCTTTTTATTCATTATTGAGCTTACCTCAAGCTCAGATCCTTTTCAATTTGGGTCAAGGCTTCCTACAAGCTAAGGAATTAAACCAAAGTCCATCTCGGGTTAGCCCAATACTTCTAACCCGGGATTAGGGGTGTTACAACATTCTTGTTAGTTCTTTCAACTCCCCAAAAAAAATATCAATATGACATGATTAGAACACCGTTAATCCTTAAGCTTGAGAAAATTTATGTTTAATTATATTTTAATTATTATAAAAGCAATATTGTTAATGAAATTAAGATTCAATCAACAATCAAAAGATATTCAATGTTGGATTTGCATGAAAAATAAATGCATGTATTCACATGCATCTAGCTACATAGACTAGGAGACCTAAACAAGTTACTTGTTATGCATATGCATGGTAATTTTCTTACAGTAATTTTCTTTCATGCGTGTGAACTAAAGTTTCAGCTTTGAATAAGCAAAGCCATTTCAAGGTTGCCTTTGAACCAACAATCTCCAACTGTAAGGAACTAAGGGCTAGGTTTTAGTTATGTTTGGGAATTGAAAATTTACGCAAAATTTTTACTTACTTTTTGGTCGGTAAACCATATAGTAGAAAGACTAGTTGAAGTGGTCATCTCCGTCCACTGCTACTCACAAACAAGAAAACAAACAAGTTGTTGCTTGCAAAACAAGCATGCATCCCCCCCAAATTTACAGTCTACCCAAATGTTTTACCTTGCTAAATCCATCAATTCTATAATTCTTAATTAAATTTTGAAATTTTCCTTATTTCTATCCATATCATACGAAATCCCCTTCTTAATCAAAGAATTTTTATTAATACCTTTTCTATTTCATTGAAATTTAAAAGAATGAATTTAAATGCATGGTCCACTGTTTAACCTTATGCATATATTTATAATATTTATTCTATTTTCTTAATTGTTAGCTATTGTCAGGATAAATTCTTTATGATTAATTTTTAAAAATAAACATTTAAATATTTTTATATAATAAAAATATAATGATATAATATGATACAAGAAAAATAAATATGCTACTAGATCACTTCTTGAATTCATGAGAGTTGCTTCTGTAATGTTCTTGATGATTTAAGGGCCTGGCCTTAATTATTTATGCTTGTTTAGATTCTTTCAATGAGTTGATCCAGTCGAAGTGAGCCTTTCATCAATACGTCAGAATAAATAAGAACTAAACCCAGTCCCAGCGAGCTTTGATCAGGAAAATATCATGAAAAAGGAAAAAGAAACTACATTACTATTTAAACAATATGATAAGAGAGGCTATTGCCATTATTATTATTTTAATAAAGTTATTGCCATTACTACACTGTCCCCATTTTCGGAAATTACGGTGTGCAAAAAGATTTGATCTGAAAATTCAGATATTTGATTTGTTTTTTTATTTTTGAATGATTTGGATTAGATATCTAAAAAAAATCAGATAATCGATTTGGATACGGATCGAATAAATTTTAATTTCGGATTATTCAAAAATCTAAAAATATATTGAGCATTTAGATTATAGATACCCTTTAGTCCAATAAATGAGTAACTCACTAACTCATTAAAATTATAACCCAATAAAAATTAGGATTTTTTTATAGAAAGTCGCTAGTTTTATTAAAAATAAAAAATATACAGAATTATAATTAATATTTATAAGCATAATCGTAAGCATAAACTAAATTATAATTAGGACATTTTCCTATAACCATTAACACAAAAACTAATTACTTAGATCACACAATGACCAAAAAAGAAAATATTAAAAAAATCTAACTAATGCTTGAAAAAAATAAAGATAAGAATAAATCTGATTGCATCGGTAAACGAACCACAAAAGGCGTGAAGCTACATAAGACCACCGACAAATCGCAAATCAGAGTCAAGCGACGTGATAAAACTATCCACGAACGCAAAACACGTATCCAAATCAATTTGAGGGTCCAAAGCAGCGAAGATCAACATGATAACAAATAAGCACCATTTTGATTAGTCGTGGCGATGTCAAATTCGAACTTAAGAAGAAAAAAAGATAAATGAAAACAACGGCAAAAAAATTGTAAGCTACCAAAAGGCAGAAATAAGCTTGTCATAAAGGTAGAGAACATGTCACAAAGACATAAGTACTCATATTAAAAAACTTTAAAAAAAGACAACCGGCTGGCGACAATCAGTATCAAAACTGGTGTCACCGTCGATTAAACAAAATTAAAGAAGAAAAAAATTAGATTGATAAATAAAATTAACATAAATTATAAAAAAAAATGGAGGAAGAAGTAAAAAAATTAGGATATTTAATTATTTATTGTGTGTGAGTAATTAAATATATATAAAAGGTATAGTAGAAGTATCGAATAAGTTACATTATATCACAAAATTCAAAATGTAAAATTAATTTTTTTGTCAAATTAAATTTTAAATTCGGACTTGGATATTTGTATATCCGAAAATTTGGATATATAATTTTTTCGGATCGAATACAGATCACTATTTTAGGTGTATGAAATTTTCATATATCCGATTTTTTTTGTTCGGATCGGATCTGATATCCGAATTTGCACCCAACTAATGGTTGTTGTGCGTTCTATGTTGGAGCATTTTTGTTGGTGTGTGACTTAAGGGTGAGCAAAATTCGACTCGACTCAAAATTTTGATTTTTTTTTACCCGATTCGAATTGTCTTCGAGTTGTAATTTCATAAACTCGGCTCGAACAAATTTCAAGTTCAAATCGAGTTGTAAAATACAACTCGAATAACTCAAAATTTTTAATAATTAGTAAATTTATTTTCAATTTTAAGTCGAAGTTTAAGTTGAGCCTCTCGACTTTGTATGATATATGTAAATCTCATATGAAAAAAATACAAAAAAACATATGCATTGTATATGGTTATAAAATACTATTTAAATTAGAATCAAATAAGGTTATAATATTATAAATATTTACAATTAAATTTAAAAAGAAACTCAAAAATTCAGCTCGACTCGACTCGAAAATTTTTTAAGTTAACTCTGAGTTATAAAATAAGACTTGTCAACTCAAATAACTCAAAATTTTTTGACTAGACTCGATCGAACGCTCACCTTACTATGTGTGATGGTTTTGAAGAATAAATATTAATTCAAATTTATAGAAAAATTTCTTTTTAAATTTATTATTATTTTTAAAAATTATATAAATTATTAGATTTGAAATTTAATTTTTAAATCTAAAAAACAAAATTTACATACTGTTGGTGAGTACGTAAATACATCAGGCAGGAAAATCCGAGTCAAGAGTTAATTTCATAGCATTTTAAACCATATTTTAATCTGTTAGATGAACAGATTACAATAAATTTTATTAATATACTGATGTATCTATTTTGAAATTTTATTGATACTGAAATTTTATTAATACCTGCTTCATACAAAAAAAATTACAATCAATGCATATCTGTCTATCCTAAAATATATTTATGGATCGTCACTTACAGCAGAAATTCTGAGATAAGAATTTTTCTGCATTTGGATTTTCTGCTGCTGTTCAACTTGAGACAACGACTCCAGAAGATCTTTCATGGAGTACAATGTGTAATACGTGGGTTTCATATTTGCATGCTGTTCTACAGTCGTGTGCAAGAAACAAAGCAGCCATCCATGGGAAAGCATGCCATGCACGGGCAATCCGTTTCGAGTTGCAAGAAGACACTACAACATCCAACATTCTCATTAACATGTATTGTAAATCTGGCCTTTTGTGCAGCGCCCGCAAAGTGTTCGATGGAATGCCCGCACGAAGCTTGGTTTCTTGGAATACCTTGATCGGTTCGTACGCCCAAAACGGGGAAGCCCATGAAGCATTAAATCTTTTCAAGCTTATGCAAAGGAATGGAAGCTCGTTTAGTGAATTCACCATTTCAAGTGTTCTTTGCGCCTCTGTTGCAATTTGTGCAGTTTCTGTGTGCAAACAACTGCATGGCTTTGCTACAAAGGCTGCCGTTGATTCAAATATGTTCGTGGGAACTGCATTGGTTGATGTTTATGCAAAGTCTGGTTTGGTAAAGGATGCTAGTTGGGTTTTCGAGAGCATGCTGGAGAGGAGTGTTGTTACATGGAGTTGTATGGCGGTGGGGTACGTTCAAAATGAGTTATTTGAGGAGGCTTTACTGTTGTTTCGTAGAGTTCAAATAATGGGAGTAGAACATGATCAGTTTTTACTCTCTTCCGTTATATGTGGTTGTTCTGGACTAGCTGCTTTGATTGAAGGAAAACAGGTGCATGCCATTATATCTAAAACTGGATTTGGTTCAAACATATTCATAGCTTCATCCCTCATAGACATGTATGCTAAATGTGGCAGCGTCGAAGACGCTTACACTGTATTCACGGGTATAGAAGAGAAAAATGTTGTTTCTTGGAACACGATGATTTCTGGCTTCTCTAAACATGCTCGTGCCTTGGAGGCAATGGTTTCATTTGAAAAAATGCAGCAGATGGGTCTTTCCCCTAATGAAGTGACATATATTTCTGTGTTATTTGCATGTAGCCATATGGGTTTGGTCGATGAAGCAAAGAGCTACTTTGATCTCATGGTAAGAAAGCACAATATATCACCTAGTGTCATTCACTATTCATGCATGGTTGATACCCTTGGTCGAGCTGGAATGATTTCTGAAGCTTATGATTTGATACAGAGAATGCCCTTTGTTGCCACTGTTTCTATGTGGGGATCTCTTTTAGCTTGTTGTAGGTTCCATGGGAATCTTGAATTAGCTGAGGTAGCAGCTAAGAATTTGTTTGAGATGGAACCTGATAATGCTGGAAACTATATTCTGCTCTCCAATATTTATGCAGCTAACAAAAAGTGGGAGGAAGTTGTGAGAGCAAGGAAATTTCTTAAAGAAAACATGGTGAGAAACGAAAGGGGCAAGAGTTGGATAGCAATCAAGGATAAGGTCCATGCATTTATGGTTGGAGAGATCAATCACCCAAGAATTACTGAAATTTATTCCAAATTAGATAAGTTGGTGGAGGAAGTGAAGATCCTTGGTTATGAAGTAGAGACTGAACATGACCTTCATGATGTGGAAGAGAGTAAAAAGCAACAACTTTTGAAACACCACAGTGAGAAACTGGCGCTTAGTTATGGGCTGCTGGCACTACCTACTGGTGCCCCGATACGAATAATGAAGAATCTCCGGATTTGTGGGGATTGCCATTCTTTTATGAAACAAACATCTAGCATTACGCAGAGGGAAATCGTTGTTAGGGATATAAACAGGTTTCACCATTTTAGAGAAGGTCGTTGCACTTGTGGTGATTTTTGGTGATGTATTCATTTCCTGATTTTGTGTGCCAGTCTTTAACAAGTTCACTGGTTTATACACTCTTCATCTGCTGTTTTAAGATCTATATTGGTGTTTTAGGAGACAACATACAGGCATTCATCGTATATTCAGCATTTGGATGCAATGCCAGATTCTCCCCTTGATGTCGATGTATATTACAATGAACTGGTGGCCACAACAGGATAATACAACCGCTATTTTGCAGCTTGGCACAATGGGACCTCCTTTTACCACACACTGGGCACCAATGGAACATGCGATGCCATTGATCTTGGAGTTGGGATTCCCAGGCCTGATTTTCTCGAGGGAGCTCCTTATATGGGGACTCAACTCAAGGATCGCTTCCTTTGCAATGTGTGGAAGAAAGTAGGATTTTATTTGGTAGTGTGAAGAAGTTGCTACTAAAGGCTTGTTTCTGATATATTTAAACATATATAATTATATAAAAAAATATATTTTCTCCCTTCTATACTTTAATCGTGACAAAATATAATAACTCACTATATTTGACAATTAATCAGAATGTTCATCTTTATTCTCTCATATTCCCTTAAGATGAGTTATATATTCATTAAGAGCACCTCCTTCCTTCCCCTGGAGTCTCTCTTCCATTCCCCTCTTGGTAGGATTAGGATTAAAATTATAAATAATCAAAAAAAAATTAATAGAAATAAATCTAATCGTTATAATTATTTGAAAAATAAAAGGTAAAGTACATAAATTGTTCTTTGACAATAAGATATTACTTTGTTGAGTCCCTCGACTATTAAAAGTTACAAAGTACTCCTTCAACTATAGGACACTATTTTGTTGAGTCTACAACTATTAAAATTTAAAAAAATGGTCACTCAATTATTCAAATATTCCAAATTGGTCTTTTCGTTTAAAAAATTATGGGTCGTATGAGTTATTCATTAATAGATTGATTGAGATGTCATAAAATATGATCTCAGAATTGTTTGAGTTATAATTTGTGGGTCGACTCTCCATTTACATTATGTTGTCGAGCCAGTGATTTAAACATTTTGTTGTTGAGTCGGTGCTTGAAAGTAATGTGGTGCCAATAAACATCATAAAATATGATTTTATCATATCTCAATAAGCATGTTAACATCCAACTCAGACAACAATCAATTTTTTTTTACAGAAAATACGAGTTTGAAATATATGAATAGTTGTATGATCATTTTTTAATTTTTAATAGTTGGGAGACTCAATAAAATAGTGTCTTATAGTCAATAAATTATTTTATAACTTTTAATAATATGAGGATTCAACAAAATAAAACTATAGTTGAGGGACTATTTGTGTACTTTACCCAAAAATTAAATAGGTTGTTTTAACTACGGGTGTTAAAAAATACCCTACCCGTTGACCCGGCCCGTTGACCCACCAACACAAACCTAAAAAAATTGGTAATTCTCTTAAAAAAAGTATTCGACCCGTGATTTTTCCCGGGTGGTTGGGTCGGGTCAGGCGGGTACCCAACCCGACCCGATAATATGTATATATGTAGTTTGAATTATATTTTTATTTTAGGTAGCTTAATATTTTTACCTTAAATTAAATTTAAATCCCTAATTTTCTCTTAAATTTGTATTATGTACTTTTAAATTTTACAAAAGTTTTTATTAATTTGTCAATAGGATATTCGAAAAAAACCACGATCGATATTAATAACTTTATTTTTTTTTGGAAATAAACTTTAATATATATATCGAATATTTATCCTTAAAATTAACTTCAAATCACTAATTTTTGTATATGAATTGTGTATAATGAACCTTTAAATTTTTTATGTATTTTCTATATATTTTTTAAAAATATTAAATTAAAAAAAATAAATCAGATACTTGTAACCTAAATACGGACAACCGACTACCAGATATTAAAACTTAACGGGTCAAGTCACAAACCAACATATATACTATTTGAAGAACCGGATAAGAGTATCCGATTTTGAACACCTCTAGTTGTAACTCGTAACTAAAAAATGGCCAAACCCCAAATTCAAGGACTGCAGTCTAGATGTAACCGCATCAGCAAAATACAAAGTCCAAAGACTTTCTAAAAAGGGATACGTGGCCCAATCATGTATTTCCTGTAGCTGTTCCATACCGCACAGAATTCTTAATTTCACCCCTCTCGGGCTCTATTTTGAAAATCGGATCGGATCAACCGGTTCAATCGAAAATTGTTGTTTAATCCGGTTTAATCTAAATCGGTTGAACCGTTATTAGTGAACCGGTCAGAACTGTTGAACCGTTCGAACCGGACCGGCTGAAAACCGGAAAAAACCGGAAAAAACCGAGATTTTTGTTTTTTTTTTAAAAAAAAATTAAACCAAACAACGTCGTTTGTTAAACGAGCCAAGTCGAACTCGAGTATTGCTGAGCTCGACTCGAACTTGAAAACTTTAAAAGTAAGCTCAACTCAACTCAAACTCACAAACTAAAAATTATCAAGTTCAATTCAAACTCGAAATATAATATTGAAACTTGAACTCAAAAATGCTTGAACTCAAAAAAAAATTTGAAGCTCGATCGAAGCCTAAAATTCGAGCTTGATTGAAGTGAAAGAATAGTTCACTCAATGCTCATCAAAAGGCTCCGTGATTTTAAATGTCAAATTACCTCTATTATTTATAGAAGTTAGTTGTGATGCGCTTCTATGTTTCTTAGCAATGTGAAATTGTTTTGTTTTCATATTTTTACTCTTTAGACTTTTGGGATGCTCTTCTATGTTTCTTAGCCATGTGAGATTGTTTTTTAAAAAAATTAAACCAAATAATATCATTTTGTTATGATTTTTTTAATCCCAAATTTATTTTTTAATTATAGTTATATAATTATATTTATTATTTAATATGTTTTACCTTAAATATTATGTTGTAGTTAATTTGAATCATTTTGTTTCATTTGATTTTATGGTTTTTAACTTATATATGTTATGACTTACTTTGAATATGACTTGTGATATAAAAAATTATTTTTTATTAAATATTTTTAGTATTTTTATTTAATTTTTTAAATAATTATAACATCGTCCGATTCTTCCGATCGATCAGACCGATTCGACCGATTAAACCAATAAATCGATTCTCTAACCAATCCAATTCTGAAAACCATGCTCTTGGGATCTCAAGTCCTCTTGCAAGCAGGCCCTCTCCTTTTTTACAGGGAGAAAAAGAAGAAGGGGTGCTGCTTCGCAGATCGAATCCAAGATTTATGTTCTGAGAGACCCCTTTTTTCTATATTTAACGATATGGGTATTTTGTTTACAAAAATGTTCTCTTCCCTGTTTGGTAACAAGGAGGCTCGGATCCTCGTTCTCGGCCTTGACAATGCCGGCAAAACCACCATTCTATGTATTATTTCTCTTCCTTATTATAATTTTAGTGATTCCCATTTTGTTTTTATCGGGATTTATTAAATGAGCAATTGCCCTTTTTTATTTTATAATTCGATGGTTTTGGTTGCAGATCGACTCCAGATGGGTGAAGTTGTCTCGACAATTCCAAGTTAGTCTTCTTCAATTTTTTTCCTTCAATTTTCTATATTTTCTCTTTTGTTCGTTTGAAATGGATTTATTGAGCATTTCATGTGTTACGGAGAAGTTAGTGTTTGCAATTAAGTAGATCAACGGGTTTCTTTTATATTTAAGAATTGATATATGGCTTACTTTCTTATTGATGGTGCAGCGATTGGATTTAATGTCGAAACAGTACAGTACAATAATATCAAATTTCAAGTTTGGGATTTAGGTATGTCAAACACTTCTCCTTGATCTAGATCTTTAACATGTGGAGTGAATTTTCTTAATAATGTATTGATTCGATTGCATAGGGTAAAGAGATGGAGAAATTCACAACACATATTTAGTAAAATCATGTTAGATAGCACCTCAGTTTTCAATCTTATAGATTTATCAACAGGTAGGATTCTCAGAATTTGAGCCTTCATGGTTTCTTATATCTTTATATATCCGTTCTTAGTATTTCATGATATGGGGCTTTCCTTTGTCTTTCCAATCACAAAAATATTAGGTTGTGGAATTTGAATCTGTAAGTGCTGGACTGAAAAAATAATATATATTATTTCGCAAATTTTCTTTTATCATTTGAGGCTTTTTTATTTTAACATAAGTGCTATCGACTTCTTTTCTAAATGACATCTTTACCATTTATCAATGCAGGCGGACAGACAAGTATCAGGTAACTTTCCTGGACATGAACCATTTTTCTTTACTTTTAAGTTCGTTATTTATTTATTTTCTTCTGGCAACTCTCTTCTCTAAGATGTTTAGATTGTGGAAGCTGTATGTAAAGCTTGTCTTTGTGAGTCTACACCTGGCCATTGGCTGCTTATAAATTTTAGTCAGTTCATATAGTTAAGGGGTGTGCATAATAAAGAATCCATCTAATGCATGTTAATCCAAGTTTTATTTAATTATTTGATTATTAGGATCAGCTTTCTGTTATCAGGTTTTTCGTTTGTTTGTTTTTTTAGTTTATCGTTTGTGTTATTTTAAATAGTTATGTGATTAGGATAGGGCTCTTAGTTAGAGTTCTAATTAAATAAGACTATTAGTAAGAATTTTACTATAAATACTATGCTAGAGGTTATTAGGGAAGTGATTATTATCATTAACAGAATTTTAACAGAATTGGTTGCTGGAAAACCCCATAACCCTTTTTTTATCCCCAATTCAATTAGGTTCATTATCTTTTTTTCAATTTCCATACTCTCCTCAGCGTTATTTCTAAAAATGGAAATCTTTAAAAAGACACAAATTATACTTAGTTATCTTAGTCACACTATACTTAGAGAGAGAGAATATCAAAGACTGCAAACCCCTAAATTTATTATTCCATTTTGCTCTACAGGCCATATTGGAGATGCTACTTTCCAAATACCCAAGCTATAATCTATGTTGTTGATTCAAGTGACACAGATAGGCTGGTGATAGCTAAAGAAGGATTTCATGCAATCTTGGAGGTAAACACATCAAGATGCAGTTCTTCATATGACAGTATTTTATTAGTTTTCATATTTAAAACGTCCTAAACCCTCGTTGAGGTATGTCTTATAAATGTTCCATGCTGTGAAGATGACATATAAATCATTTGCTGGCTGTAAAGTTTATATAATTTTCCACTGTAGTAATTGTTGTAGTTTAGAAGTTTGACGACAAGAAAGAATGATGCGTAAAAACATTTTTTCTGCTCCCTAGAATGTTATTTCCCTACAACTTGTCTTAAATTTTTAATAGTCATTTCAGATTGTTGTAGTCCCCCTGTATTATCTTTCCCTTTTGTGTATTTTTTTTATTTATTGGAATGCAAGTTCAGAGGACTTTTGTCTGTTTGTAGTCTCCCATGAAAAAGAAATAAATCAAACCTTTTCTATTTCCCTTTCAGTATCGATAAGATGACTTATTTATACGCCCGTAACCAACATCTCCTGCTTGGTGTGTACGATCTCCTTGTTTACTTGTCAATGCTTGTTTTGTATATTTGACTTGTCAAGATTGAATCTTTTACAGGAGGAGGAGCTAAGAGGAGCAGCTGTTCTGATTTTTGCAAATAAGCAGGTTGGTGCTTTTCTTTTTTCTTGTTGGAGTAGCGCAGACCCTTCATTTTTTTAAGGTGTTTTTCTAATGTTTGACAACTGACATTGAGCGAGAGCTGCTTATGGGAAAGGAATTAGAAGCCCTTATCCCTAAAGGGAATAATATGCAGTTTCTTATTCTTACTTGAGATAATTTGGATTTTGTTTGCTAGATATTTTGGGGATGAATTGGTGCATAATGTGTAAATTAGTTGTGAATATCATTCTGAATGTGTGCTCTATTGCTCAAGTGTTGGTACTAAATATATAATCCAAATCCATTATTCCAAATTTAAAGTCCCAAATACGGCCTTAAGAAATTTGGCGGAGGAAAGAGGAGCAACATTTTAATTTGCTTAGAAAAGTTTATAAGCCACGTCGATAGTTTTAGTTTATGAAAGTTTCTTGTAATTATACAAGTCACATTGTTGACACAGGATCTTCCAGGTGCACTTGATGCTGCTGCAATTACACAGTCTTTGGAGTTGCACAAGATAAAAAACCGACAATGGGCTATTTTCAAAACATCAGCGATAAAAGGGGAAGGTCTCTTTGAAGGTTTGGACTGGTAAGTTTGGCATCACATGTTATCCTTGAAATTTCTTGGCAAATTTGATGTGGTCACTGGGGATTTAATTATCTCTAGCCTAATTAAACTGTGAACCTTTTTCAATCCTCCCTCTTCCTAAAGCAGTTTAACTTATTAGCAATGATTTCAGGTTGAGTAATGCCCTCAACTCTGGAAGCGGCTAACTCTTGGCATGGAGAATCAGAAGCATTGCAGCTATACGATCCATCCTAATGGTGTCTGCTTTAGCATGATGATCTTATTGTAATTTGATCCGTGGAAAAAGTTGACCTCCTGAAATTTCTGGTTATTATTACTATTATTATTTTTTGGGCCTAACATTTGGTATACCTATTCTTGGAGAAATAGTTGTTAGAACTTGGGTGATGGGCGCGATGGAGCTATGGGCAGCCTTTGAAGAGTCGTTGCCGTTGGTGCGAAGTTTGTTGCTTATCGGAACTCCTCCAGACACTTTTTTGGAACATTTTTTGCTTCGAGTTATTTTTCAGTTTAACTTTGTTATATTTATGTTTCGTTCAAATTAAATTACTTAATATCTATCCCCTTCTGGGTTTAAATTGATAATCAGCATGAGAAGGTTTACATCTAATTAATAATCCAAAGATAAAAGAATGACATTTATTCTTTAGTTGCTAACTTGATCTCATCTCTAAGACTTGCAAATCTAATGATTATCTCTTGGATGATGTCAATAGTTGACTTAATTATTTTTTACAGTGTTTCTAAAATTATTTTAGTCACTCTTTTAACCAATTCTAGCAAAACTACCCCTACAACCATAAGCTAAAATGGCTTCCAAAGCCTTTAAAAAAAATGGCTTCAAAAGAAATTAATTATGAAGCTATATTATGTCCAAATTAAAAGCGTGGAAACTAGTGTTTATTGCCTTTCCATTAATGCATTTTGTCCTCCTTTTTATCTTTAAGGGGAAATTACAGGATTAATTATTTTCGTTTAAGAATTATACACTTTATCATTTAATTCAAAAAATATGATATCTGGTTATTTTCGTTTTTATTTAATTAAGACGTTGTCACGTTTTAATTGTTGTTAAAACTTTAACAGATTGTTGATTTTGTAAAGTAAATATATAAAATTATAAAGGGTAAACTACACAAATGACTTAATGTTTGAATAATTTTTTATTTTTCACACTAAAGTTTCAAAAGTAACAAATTATACACTAAAACGTCAAATAAAGAGAAAAAAAGGTGGTACGAGAACAAATAGAAAATATTTATAATTTTTATTAAAAAATAGATAAATTATTGAAAGAAAGAGAAAATAGAAAAGAAAAGTGAATGATAACCTAACAAATATTAAGAAAAAGCATGCATTATGATATAAATAAAAAGGATTATATTAATTTCTTAAATCCAAAAGAACGAAAAATAAAAACAAGCCCATTAAATGGTAGATTTCATCGCTGAATATCTTTAAAATATCGAAAGCTTCCTAGTTTTAAGCCAAGTTCAACCAGGGTATCTTCGGGCCAACTTAGTGGAGTCGGAGAAGCCACTAGATCGAACAGAATCCTTTGAAACGATCATGAAATACGTTCAAAACCAGATAATCTCTGAGATGATTTATTGGCTGAACCCTATATTTTGTACTTTTTTCCTTCAACCGTTAGCAGAACTGGTTTCCTCGGTGAAATGCTTTTCACTTGCTTCAACTCCGTCGGGTTTAATTGATTAGCTTCAGCGGTCGCGATGGAGCTTTAAATGACGATCATAGACTGGTTGGGAGGCATGCTGAAGCTGCCAGAGTCGTTCACGTTTCAAGGCAATGGCGCTGGCGTTATACAAAACACCACCAGCGAAGCTATCCTCGTGAAGCTCATTGTAGGCTTGTAGCTAGGCACAAAGCTCACCCCAATATGAAGAGCAATATACATATTGTTAATACATAAAAAGTTAGAATATGTCCATATAGGATGAGATGAAAGGTAAAAATATATCATAATATCTAACCTTAAACTTGGATCACTTGTACAAGGTGTGAGAAACCAACCCTGAGTGCTACTGTAACCGGAATAGATAATCTACCAAAAGGATGAACCAATTACAATTTATTACTAGTTTTAGCAACAACAAAAAAAGGAAATCAGTGACTGTGCTAGATAAGCTAATAATTTGAATTTTGAATACCAAGCCCCAAACTACAATCTAACTTAAATTTAGTGAGATAATAATTACATTTTACACCTAACAGAAATCATGGGAGAATAAAGAAAAGGTGCAGGAGAAACCAAATTTATATTTAAGCTGTTTACCAGACAAATCAGAAGAGAAAAGAAATCTAAACATCCAAGCATGCATCCCTAACATTGCATACAGCTATAGTTCTACAGTGGAACTTTATACTGCATGAGGTGCAGGGATGGACCAAGGGAGGCTAAGGGCACTCGTCCCTTAAAAAATTTCAAATTATCATATACTTTAGATATTTTCTTTTTATTATCTATTGAAAATATGTTTTCTCTCCCTCCCCTAGAATTTTATAAGTTCTTCCTTCCCTATAATTTTAGAAGTTTTCCCCAAATATAAAATCCTGCTTCCGTACCTGCCGAGGTGTAAGGAGCAAAAAAGCATTTGTCTAAATGAAGTTTCACTCCGTATAAATAAGGTTAAGATATATAGTTTGTTAATAAACTGTAAAAGGGCGGTTCACTTTTATCATTGAGAACATACACAATTTCTTTTCTGTTTGTTTGCCAAAGCACACAATTTCCTTATGGTGCCAAGTTTGTTATTGAATTACCACAAATTAAGAAGTAGAGACTTTCAATCAGTCAAGCTTTATTTTGTGCCTGCTTCCTTACAGAGAACTGTGGCTAGGCACACCAACAATGTGCCTAATCAAATGCACCTAGCCCATAAGGGTTTCAGGCACTCTTTCTATCTAGTGCTAAGTCACGACACCTTAACATCAAGTAAATGCTCCTAAATATACAAGACTTTCCCACTAGTGTTGTGTTTTAAATTAAATTTACGTCTAGCTTTTCATGCATCCCCTCATTCCTTTTCAAATAATTATAGATTCATTTCACTTCTAGCCTTTCATCATCCTTGTCAAATAAGTATGTGGCAATAAATCTTTAAAATATATATCACCATTGAAGTGAAAATATTTTGTCATTAGAAATAATATATTGAGGACAATCAATTTATATCCCTCCTCCAACTATGCCATCCTTAGACACTACTATGATCTGGATACTATAATCTGCTGTAGATGGCAGTCAAATACGTTAAAGAAATCCAAATACCTTATTTGTAATAGGACCGTGTGCAAGATAAGGTTTCTCATTACGTAAATGATGAATCCATAAGCAACTTGTGCATCCATTCCTAAACGTAAAATGGGGAACAAAAAAGAAGCAAACTTATCAAAATAAAGCACACTGAGTCACTATAAAAGTTAGTTCATCCATTAAACTTCTTAGAAGAAAGTACAAGTCCCTACTAAGGGAAAATCTCCATACCTGAAATGAAAATAACCAAGAGATAAAAGTTAAACTCACACTATAGCTATGCTAAAATAATAATAGAATACTCCTTCATAGCCATTCACTTTGTCGGGAACATCCTCCTCAATATCCACACTCTGCAGCCACAGACAAGATTTTTCCCGTTTGAATCTAAAATCACACATGATAAGATAATAGAATCATAATCAGATGGTATACCAAGATGAATACGTAGAAAGAGAAACAATTTTAGATATACGATGTCACAGTTCATTAAACAATGAGTTATACAGGGTTAAATTTTTGTAGCATATTTTGATCTATGACCTAATAAGTAGTCTTTATTTTCAAGTCTCTATAATTATGCTATCAAGTCTTTCTTTTAAAGTCTCTATAATTATGCTATCAAGTTTCCTAAGCTAAAGAATACCAAACTTTATTCACCTTCACAAGACTCAGATTAAGCAGAAGTGTTCACAGCTAAAATACAGTCACCCAAGAAAAGTTGATTAAATAGAACAGAGGGATTAAAGCAGAGAGATTCATTACCTTAACAGGACAACACACTTCTGTAGCATGCAAAGAATGGGGAGGATCAACAACTCCACCACCAGGCATTTGCATCACAAAATGCCGACTGCATAGTCAAAGAAACAATTGGCCATGTTATTGGGAAGTAGTTAGAAATACACATTCTCAATTATAAGCAAGTAAAAAATACGACTCCTCACCTAAAACCATTAGTATGCCACGGAAGTAAAACATAGCACTAATCATCAGGTAATACAGTATGCTTACCTATCTATATTGGAAATTGGAACGGCAGCAGCTCTGAGCAAAGTATGTTTAATTCCTGATTTCCAGGCAAAAGGAATTGAACCTCCCTGCAGTTAAGATTCAGAACACGGGTCAAGAAAGCAAGATAAGAAAACAGTCGATAACATGATCAAATTTCAAAATTGAAAGAAATATCATACCTAACCAAAACTTCTAGACAAGTCATTGCCTGTACCGAGTGGAACAATAGCTACTGGAGGAACTTATGATTTAGTTCACCCAAACATCCAAGTACCCAACCAACAGTTCCATCACCCCCGGCAACCTACTCATTCATATCAGTTTGGGATGTTCGAATTGTTAATTATTTTTTTCTATTTGTTCTTCACTAACTAGAAAATTGATTAAAATGGAAAAACTAAATCATAAATTGATCAATATCAAACCAGTGAATTAAATACAAGTTTAGAATACCAATTGTTAACACAGTCATTATGCATGAAAGTAAAATCATATACTTTGTACAGAAAAATAAAAAGTTATCCAAATCTGAGGATTCTTAAAAAACAAAAAATAAAACCGTTCAAGAGAAAAAGCAATTTTACACGTTGAAAAATTCTGGTGAGAACATATCAAAACTCTAAATCTCTGCCGTGCTCTCTGGCACAAAAATCTCCATTGTTAGCCCACTTCTCAAGGCAAGCCAACCCATACCTTACAAATTCATGCGGTTTCACATCTTGAATGTCGAATACCTACATTTCAATTTAAAAAAAAATCAAAATATATAATATACATGCAAAAGAAAAGGTCGTATGAGCTCATAAAAATGACCCCCAAAAAATTAAAAGCCGATTTAATACTTGTTCTTCGCTGATTAATTGCTGAAGGCGTTCTTTAAGATCTGGGCCAACGCTTCCGCCGCTACGGGGGTTAATAAAAACAACCATAGGGGATTCGGAACAGGGGACATCGGCAGAGCCCCTTAAGGGAAATGGTGGCCACCGCCGTCTGTGTCTTGTTTCCTAATGGAATCTAGCATTGCAAGGCGTAGATATTGAGGCAACAAATGCTTTCGTGTGAGCTCTTCCTTATCTATCTTAACACAGGCTAAACCCGACAAACCGAGAGATCTTATCGAATCCATCATGGAGGAACGATCCGAGACCAAAGCCATCGAGGACTCTCCTTCCGACATCGATGGATCACCTTCCTCCGACGGCGAATTCATAATTGTCGGAGCCTCTTCTTCCTCTTCTTTTTCCATTACTAAAAATGAAGAAGAGAGGAGGTAGTTTTTTCAGTTTATTTTTTTGAAAATGCGTTACTACTCTTTAGTCTTTCCTTGATTTGTTTGTTTCGACTATATAGGAGGAGGAAATACATGTATACCCTCCCGGACACCCATAATTGACATATGGGCTTTCATAACCCAAAACCATTGATTTAGGTTAAATGAAAATAAAATTAAAGCTTAAATGATATTTTTGTTCACGTGGTAGATTCAATTAATAATTTTTATCTTTATGATATTTTTATATCATTTTAACCCTCGAAATTGTTTAATTGTATCATCTTAAACCCTAAACTTTAACTAAAAATCTTAAATAGTATAAATATTCTAAATATGAATGCAATTAAATAATTTCAAATATTAAATTAATGCAAAAATAATATAGGGACAAAAATAATAAATTGGGTTTATTATAGGGATAAAGTAATTCTTAAACCTAAATTTAAATATGTATTTAATAAATTTATTTAAATGTTTTAAATTTATTACAATGTATATGCAATAGATTAAACAATAAATAATATTGATTCTGCCTCTCAAGCCTCAGCCAAGGCTTTTAGCAGTTCTTTCCACGGTGGGGGTAACATAGGAAATCCATTAGACAACTTAGCAGGTTTCGAAGGAGTGTAAGAACACGCTGTCGATAATCGTTGATTCTACCGCAGGCCTTTTAAGAGAAATCTTTACGCGTAACATTTTTTTATTAATTTAAGATAAATACAAAATAATATATATTCGTTAAAATCACTCAATTTATATTTAAATTTAAATAAATATTAATCTGAATTTTTTTATTAGTAATGAATTGTATATTTTAAAAACTTTGCTAATAGGAAAAGGTTGGAGTATGCGAGAATCTGTGTAGAGGTTTCGGCTGGGTCTCAAATCCCAAACTACATAGATGTGATATTATGTGATGAGACAGTAGCCAAGGTCAAAGTCTCTGTTCCTTGGCTGCCTAACTCTTGTGTTGACTGTGGCCGCTTTGGCCATTCAATGAAGTATTATCCTCAAGGGAAAAAAGTTGAGCAAATCTATAGAGTCAAAGGGCCTACTCAAGCTACTTCTGAGGGTGAGACTTTGAACACTTTGGGATCTGTAGGTTTGAAGGATGGTTCCTCGACTGCTACCGCATGCTTGAATGGCACTTCTATTTCTGCTAGTGCTAATAAGACTTCCGATCCTGGTAATGCTTTGACTGTTGATGAGGCTTGTGTCAGTCTCCCAGTTGCTGCTTCAAATCCTGAGGGGGTTGTCCTGGGATCTCGGTTGCTAATGAGGTTCTAGTTGGGGTTTATAGCAGAAGATTGGTTGATAATTCAGCGCCTGCTGAGATTTCTCCTGGGAATGTTATGGGGATTAGCCAGGGGTCTAAACATCCTGAACTCCCTGTACAGGCTATTGATCCTCATGCAAAGAGAGACAGGGGCAGGCCTGCTAAAGTTGATAAATCTGTGGGAGGTGGGTCTAAAAATAAATTTGACATTCTAAGCTCGATTGACCATGACAGTTTGATTGGGATCCCTCATGTTGACTCTGGTAAGAAACAAAGAGGGGCTGCTTTGAGTGTTACAAAGATTGTGCAAGAATTGAAATTAAAAAAGAAAGAACATGTTGAAAAGGTCAAAAGAGAAAAGGAAAGGGGTGATGTCTTATCCTCTATAATTTTATCATGTTAATATACTTATGGAATATTAGGGGATTCAATGGTCCCCTAAAGCAAAGCATTGTGCTAAAATGGGCAAAAAGGCTTCACATTAATATTCTCTGTCTTCTGGAGACTAGAGTCAAGGAGGTTAATGCTGCTGATATTTTGTCTAAGAAGTTTGAGGGCTGGAATTACTGTTGTAATTACTCCCATGCCGAGAATGGTTGAATATGGGTTTTATGGCAATGAGGTTTGGTATGTTCCATTTGTTCTATTTTTTAGCAGTATATCACCTTCAAAGGCACCTTCAATGGTTTGCCTTTTTTCATTACTATAGTGTATGGTTCCAATGATGGCATAATCCGCAGGCAGTTCTGGTCGCAACTTGGTAGTATTGTTAGTTTTATGGGTGATGCAGCCTGGTTGGTAGGGGGCGATTTCAATTTCATTTTAAAAATGGAGGAAAGTTCTAATCCTATCAGCTCTAGCACTAGTAGTGACGTCCTCGAGTTTCATAAGTGTGTTGAGGACCTGGAAATCTTTGATCACCAATTTATTGGCCCTCTTTATACTTGGTCTAACAAGCAGCAAAACTCCTTCCTTGCCCGTAAACTAGATCGTGTTCTGGTTAATCACTGCTGGTCTGAGACTTTCCCATCCTCTGAAGTTGAGTTTCAAGCGCCCGGGGAGTCTGATCACAGTCCAGCCTCTGGCTGTATAAGGAAGCTGCTACTAATAAACCGAAGCCTTTCAAGTTCTTTAATTTCTGGGCTCTGCACCCAGACTTTTTATCCAATGTTAGGGATTCGTGGCAAGCTCCAGCTATTGGGAACCCAACCCATGTTCTGTTCGTAAAACTAAAGCGGTTGAAGAGTTATCTTAAGCTTCTTAATAGAGCTTATTTTTCTGATATTTCGAGGCGTGTTCTTTCTAAAAGAGATGAATTGAGGGCTATTCAGCTTGCTAATTTGGATGTTGTTACTGCTGGCAGTCTCATGATTGATGAACTTAAGATTGAGGAGGAGTTAAGAGACCTTGAACAGTTAGAGCTTCTCTTCTATAAACAAAAAGCAAAGGCTGACTAGATTCGAGAAGGTGATCAGGGTACCCGATTTTTTCACTCCATGGTGGCTAGCAATAGGATGAACAACACCATTAGAGTCATTTTTAATCAAGAAGGTGTTAGACTTAGAACCTTTGATGATATGTCTAATGAGGCTATCAACTTCTTTAAAAAGTAATTGGGGGTGATTGATTCCGAGGTCAATTGCTGCAATGTCTCCACTGTAAAGGAGCTTCTGGGCTATTCCCTTCCTGAGGGTGCTTCTGAGACTTTAATCAGAGAGATTTCTGATGTTGAGATCAAAGATGCTTTATGGGGAGAAGGGAACAATAAATCCCTCGGTCCTGATGGTTACATCTCATTCTTTTTTAAACAGTCATGGCATATTATGGGAAATGACTTCTTGGCAACAATCAGGTATTGCTTTACTAACTCATTCATGCTCCATTCCTTCAATGTTACAGCTGTTGTGCTTGTCCCAAAGGTTCTTAATCCCAGTATAGTCAAACACTTTAGGCCTATTTCTTGTTGTTCTATCATATATAAGATTGTTACTAGAATTCTTGTGAACCGACTGTCTGTTGTCTTTCCTAGCATGATTTCAATGAACCAATCTATTTTTTTGAAAGGGAGAAACGTATTTGATAATACTTTACTTGCCCAAGAACTTGTTCGGGGTTATACTAGAAAGAAAATTTCTCCAAGATGTGCTCTCAAAATTGACTTGCAGAAGGCTTTCGATTCCTTAAACTGGGATTTTGTTAGAATTGTTCTGCATGCTCTCGGATTGCCGGAGAAATTCATAGGCTGGATTTTGGCTTGTATTACTAATCCAAGCTACTCCATTGTCTTTAATGGTACTCTTGCCGGCTATTTCAAAGGGGCCCGGGGTGTTAGACAGGGTGACCCCCTTTCTCCTTATATTTTTGTCTTAGCCATGAACATCTTATCAAGCCTTCTTAATGTAGCTGCTAAGAAGGGAGTGTTCAGCTATCACCCTAAGTGCAAAAAGGTTGGGCTCACTCACCTTTGCTTCGCTGATGATTTGCTAATATTTTGCAAGGGCTCTCTGGACTCTATAATTGGTGTACAAACTGTTCTTGACTATTTTTATTCCATGTCTGGACTAAAACTAAATGCTAGTAAGTGTGAAATTTTCTATGCTGGGATTTCTTCTGAACATTGTGCTGCTATCAAGGAGTTAACAGGTTTCAAACTGGGTAATCTCCTTGTCCGTTACCTGGGTGTTCCGCTGGTTACTAGAAAACTCACGGTTAAGGACTGTCAAAGCTTAATTGACAAGATAAGAGCAAAGCTGAATTTATGGGCCAACAAACATCTTAGCTTTGTAGGGAGGCTTCAATTGATCCGTGTTGTTCTATTCAACATGGCAAATTTCTGGTGCAGACAGCTCGCGCTTCCTAAAAAGATAATCAATTATATTGAGCAGCTCTGTTCCAGATTCTTCTGGAAAAGGTCCGACTTACCTGCTGGAGGCGCTCGTGTCAGCTGGAAAAAAGTATGTACATTGAAGTCATAAGGTGGCCTAGGCGTCCAAGATGTAGGCGAATGTAATAAAGCCTGCGCTATTCACCTTATCAAAAAAATATTAGCCAATGAGGGCTCTCTCTGGGTGGCCTGGATGCGTACCTATGTGATCGAGGATGAAGACTTCTAACAGATGAGAATCCCTTTGAATGTAAGCTAGTCTTTCAAGTACATATTGAAAATTAGACCTACTGTTATTCATCTCTTTGCTGGCCCAATTTATAACCTAAGTGTTAGAAGCATTTGGGATGACTTGTACACCCAAAGTCCCTTGGCAGCATCTTGTTTGGTTTCCTGGGCGTATCCCTAAGCACAGCATTATAGTGTGGATGGCCATCCTTAATCGCCTCCCTACTCGTGCTAGGCTCCTTAGTATGGGCTTAAATATTGAGAATGATATGTGTCTAATGTGTGGTGTTGCAGCTGAGTGTAGAGATCACCTGTTCTTTGGTTGTAATTTTACTAGAGGCTTATGGGGAGCTACTCTAGCTTTGTGTGGTCTGTATAGAGGCGTTAGAGGTTGGGATAGTGAACTATCTTGGGCAATCTGTTGCCTTAAGGGCAAGTCCCTTATTATGAGAATTCTTCAACTTGCCTGGGCATGCCATGTCTATTGCATCTGGAGGGAAAGGAACTACAGACTATATGGGGGTTGTGCTCGCCTAATGGATGCGTTACTGCAAGATATCAAAATTGTCGTTCGGATTCGGTTGATGGGATGCATTAGTCGCAGTTCTGACCCATGTAATGAAGCTCTTTGTGCTAGTTGGGGTATCGCTTAGTGGGAGTTCGACTATTTTGCTACTCTTATTGTGTTTACAGTTTTGACTTTGTTGGTTGGTGTTTATGTATCCCTGTTTATTGTTTCTTGTAAAATGTAGCAATTTTCTGCTTCTTGGGTAATTGAAATGGAATTATCCAATATTTTAAAAACTTTCAACTCCCCAAAATATGTGTTAATAATCATTTAAAAAAATATATAACTAAATTTATTAACATATGGCATCACATAATTTATATTTAGTTTAAATTAGCAAGTCGTTTTTTCATAGAATGATGGTTAATAGATTAATGAATGAAAAATAATTTTTTATTTTTTAGAATTTTTAATTTTTTAGCCGCTTTCTTTATTCTCCTCTCTCTCTCTTTCCTTTACAATTTATGTCAATTTTATTGATCAATCTAATTTTTTTATTTTGTTTAACTGGCAGCGACACCGGTTTTGATGTTGTTTGTCTTTCATCGGTTGTCTTTTTTTAGTTTTTAATAAGAATAATTATGTCTTTGTGACATATTCTTTACCTTTATGACATATTTATATTTGCCTTTGTGGCATGCTTTTCTCTACCTTTTGGTAGCTTATTGTCTTTTGATGTTTTTTCGTTTATCTTTTTTTATCAGGGTTGGACTTGACATCGCCACGACTGATCAAGATACCGCTTATTTGTTATCATATTAATCTTCCCTACTTTGGATCCTCGGATTGATTTGGATACATGTTTTGCGTTCGTGTATAGTTTTATCACGTCGTTTGACTATGATTTGCGATTTATTGATGGTATTCAGTAGCTTCATCCCCTTTTGCGGTTCATTTATCGATGCAGTCAGATTTGTTCGTATCTTTATTTTGTTCGAGAATTGATTAGTTTTTGTGTCAATGATTATAATAAAATATCATAATTATAATTTAGTTTATGTTTACAGTTATGTTTATAAATTTTTGTTGTAATTTTGGATATTTTCTATTTTTAATAAAATTAGCGGCTTTATGTAAAAAGAATAAATTTTAGATTTTTATTAGTTTAAATTAATAATTGCTTTTTTGTAGTTTTATTTCGCCAACCTTCTAAAATTTTCGTACTTTGGAATGATGCTTATAAATAATATACGTGAATAAAGTTTCATGTGAAACGTATGTGATTATATACCCTACGAGAAATATATAGTTTTATCTTATGTGATTATATAATTGGACTTAGCATGATTGATGATGATAAGTTTCCATGTGTTTAGGTATTACTTGAGGTTAGTTTAAGGCTCACCTGTGCTATGCATTACCCGAATTGTGTTATTGGCGTTAGATATTTCCTGCTTTTTTATTTATTTATTTTTTGACTAATTTAAGTAATACATAAAGAAATGTTATCATGTTCGATGAGTATCTTTGACTTTGGAACTACAATATATCAAAATTCTAATTTAAGTACCACTATCATCCAATTTTAATTTTAGACTTTGGAACTACAATATATCAAAATTCTTTGCTTTTTTTTATTAAATAGAGAAGTGTGCTAATTTAAATATCAATATTCAAATTCACATAACATAAGGCAACATAAACATCTAGTAACGAATCTATAGGTTGCTGACGGTGAGCACGTACACATCCCGAAATCTGAATTTTCTTCTGTTAATTACATATTTTACTAATGGTGTTCCCTGGAATTTTATTTGTGTCCACCTCATTAAAAAAACTTGATTTTAACATTTATACTTACCCTCAAAAATATTTTTAAATCCACACCTATAAATATTTTTAATGACATGGCAACTTCTTTGTCTTAGAGTTGAATACAAATAAAAATGCCTGGGAAGGTTTCTTATAGTTTAGGCTAACTTAATGAGGTAATACCATTTCTAGGGCCTGATGGCTATGAAGAGTAGGCCCTTTTAACGTTCGTGTTTAGGCTTGAAAGATCTGAACTATATTTGTGTTTAAGCTTTAAGCTTATATCAATGCTTGGCAGTCGAACTAATTTGTATTGATTAAGAGTGTGTATTTATATATTAATTTTTTAATTAAAAACAATAAATTTAATTAGTTATTGTTAGTAATAATACGAGCGGTTCTCTTTCATATTTTTATATTCTTTCTTCCATTATTTTTTCTTTCCATCTTTCTAAATTTTATTTTACACATGTACTTTTTTTTGTTTAGTTTACAATTTTTATGATAATTTTTATTTGATCCTCACGCTCTTGTAGTATATTTCTTCCGGTTTTCTTTTTTAGGGTTCAATTTATCCTTGTCTCTTTTATTGATCCCCCCTCTATTAAACTATCGAGTTGATTCCCTTGTATTCGTTGTGATAAAACTTGTACCAACATGTTGCTATGTTCTGTTCTAAAGATAACGTTAATAGAGTTTATCCTTCACCAGCAACAATAATGTTTCCATCTTCTTTCTTTTTGAGTTGATTCTCTTCTTTGATGCTGCCTTGCTTTCTACGTCTTTATGCTCCTACAGCTTTGCAACTATCAACCAGTTGTTTCATCTTATCTCTGTCCAACTGCGATAGAAACAAAATGAGATGTTTGAGAGTAGAATTTTCAGGAATATTCATTGTTTTCCTTTTCAATTTAAATTAATTTAATTAATACCATTACTTTTGATATCGGATAAGCACAAGATTCAAATTTCATTTAAAATTTTCTCAATCAATGTTTTTGCAGTCAAACTACTCGATTATGTTAACCATTAAACGATTCAAGCTATGCCATGGACCTGCATATATTTGAATTCCAAGGAAAAATAATACGCAATCTATCTATTTCACACAACTAGCACTAGTAGACTACGATGGGTGATAAAAAGCACGTGTTGTCTTTTATTTATTTTTATTCTGTATTTATGGGATTATCGTGGTCCTTTCGTCATTGTTTTCACATTAGGGTGAGCCATTTTTGCCCAAAATTAGTTATTGAGAGGGTAAAGCATTAATGCACATGCATGCATATCGGTGAAGACTTTATAAGAGTTGGTTTCTTTGAAAATGGTTAGTCTATTTCTAACATTTATGTCTTTGACAAATATGGATTTCTTGAACGGAAGGAACGTGAGTCTAATCCCTTACAAAGGGGTATATACTTGTCTCGAGATTATATATATATATATTTAATTTTTAGATTTATATTCAAATCATTTATTCTAATTTCAAAACAATAAACATTATTTTTTATTTATAGCCGATCAGAGTAATATCCATGCTGAGAGAAACTTTGAGCATTGTTTTAACTAACAATGGAAAAATGTCAACTTCGTGTCATAGACATTTGTGTTTGGATTTTAGAAAAAAGTACAGATTGTATATATAATATGCATGTTCTATATTTTTTTCCGGATAAAATACATGTTGATGTAGCCATTTATGTTTATTTACAGAATTATGAATTTGTGGACCTGTTATTTAATAGTACCAATAATTAGGGTGAGTCAAACTCGACTCGATTTAAAAAATCAATTTTTTCGACTTGATTCGACTTGAAAAAACTCGACTCGAATTGACTTCAACTTGCAATATTATAAACTCGATTCGACTCGAAAAAAAATTCATGTTCAAATTGAGCTGTAAAATACATTTCGAATAACTCAAAATTTTAGTAATTAGTGATTTATTTTAAAATTTGAGTCGAGTCCTTCGACTTTGTATGATATATGTATATCAAATATGGAAAAAATATGAATAAATATATTTGTGTTGTATATAGGGTTATAAAAATTTACTAAAGTTGAAATCAAATGATATTATAATATTATAAATATTTACAATTAAATTTAAATAGAAACTCAAAAAATCGACTCGACTGAATTCAACTCGAAAAAAATTTCAAGTCAACTACAAATTTTATAATAGGACTATTCAATTAGAATAACTCAAATTTTTTTAATTCAACACGACTCGGCTCGATCGAACGCTTACCTCTAACAATAATAATAATATTAATAAGGAGATATTGGACAATTGACAATTTCTGTCCAAGCCCAAGGGTTTTTTTTTGGATAAATAAATAAATGTTATTACCATAATAGAAGTGTTTAGCTACAAGACAAACATCAGTCTTACCCATAGTGAAAGTAAGAACAACCTGCTTACAAACAGATTACAATCAGGATATAGATTATTCAATACCCCATTTATTGCAAAAAGAGATGTTTACTCTATCAAGTCTATTTATTTTCCTGCTTTGTAGTTGTATACGAACAATATCCTTGATAGCTGAAAGAATCTGTGCAGCACTTCTTGAGTTTCCTTTGAACAACCTTGCATTTCTTTCCTCCCAAAGAGAATAAATAAGAGCAGACCATGCTATTTTTAAAACAGTAGTCAGAAGGGACTCACCTTTCCAGGAATTACATGCCCACGTTATCATGTTGTCCCAGGTCAGAGAAGGTCTCTTCAAGCCGGAGAGCAACAGAATTGCCTTCCAAAGAGAATCTGCAGGTGGACATTCAATGAATAGGTGGTTTCTTGTCTCCCGAGCCTCTTTGCACAAAACACATAATTCGTCGTTTGCAATTCTCATATGCTGGAGTCTATTTTTAGTTGGTAGTCTATCGAGGAAAGTCATCCATACAATCATGATGTGTTTGGGGATGTGAAGTGGGAACCATATAAGGTTATGCCAATGGACTTTGTTCCCTTTAACTCGAATAGCTTCCCAAATTTCTCGAATTGACGTAGCTCCTGAAGAAATAACAGTATGGGCTTCTCTTCTTAGTTTTAGCAGTTTTTGAAAGCTCCAACTAGTGTTTGTTCCCCCTTCCATGTTCCATAAGTTTTTATCGTGTAACACGTAGGTATTGAGCCATGCTACCCATAATGAGCCCCTCCTGCTAGGATATTCCTAATTAGCTGAATCATACATGCCTTATTCCATGTGTTAATATCCTTTAAACCAAGGCCGCCTTCTGATTTCGATTGGCAGATCGTTCCCCAGCTTACTTTAGCTCCGGTGGCTGCTTTATCTGATCCTTTCCAGAAGAATCGAGAACAGAGTTGCTCGATCCTTTTAATAATATATTGGGGTAAGATTAGTTGTCTGCACCAATAATTAGCAACACTAAACAAGACAGTTCGGACAAGTTCAAGTCTGCCTGCATAAGACAAATGTTTTGCTGACCAGTGGTGAAGCCTGGACTTGATATTAGCAATGAGAACATCACAGTCTCTTTCAGATAGTTTCCTTGTTACCAAAGGAACTCCTAAGTATCTCACAGGAAAGCATCCTTTTTTAAACCCTGTAATTTTGCTAATAGTCTCCATTGTGCGTATTGATATACCAGGAGCATAAAATTCACATTTGGTAGCATTTAGTTTTAGGCCAGACATTTCATAGAATTTGTCTAGGACACTTATGACTCCTACAACAGATTCCACATTTCCTTTACAGAAGATAAGGAGATCATCCGCAAACATTAAGTGAGTGAGACCTATCTTTTTACATTTGGGGTGGAAATCAAACATACCTCTTGCGGCAACCAAATTTGGTCTCCCTCTCCCAACATCGACTTCCATTTAATAGTGGGCCTACCTTAGCCAGACTTGGGGCAAGAGCCGAAATTTGGTCCTCATTGAATCTCACTTGTAGGCTGATAAAAGGTCGCAAGTTATTAGAGGTGTCTTGAAAGAAAATATCTTTTAAAATTTTAATTATTTAATTTTTAAATTCAATAGATTGAATAAAATTAGTATGAAATATATCCTATATTTTAATTGAGACTTAATACCAAAATAAGTACCCAAACTATACTGTTTTTCTCAAATAGATGCCTAAACTAATTTCCGTCTCATCCAAGTGTCTAACGTTACAACATTACCCGTTTAAGTGCTCGGGCCGTCAACGACGTTAATTTCCCTTGTTAAGTGATACGTGTCACAATCTGGTGATTAAAATTTAATTTTTAAATAAAATATTAAAAATATTATGATATTTATAAATAAATAAACACTAACTTTTCCTATATTTTAAAACAGTCACAAAATCCCAAATCCTGACCATAATCCGTTGTCTCCGCCCTTTCCAGCCACGACCACCACCACTGACGTAGTCCCTGCCATCCTCCTACTTATGCACCATTGTATTTTTCATCGATTGGTCGTCGAAATCGTGATTTTAATCATAGGGTTTGAGCGGTTTAAAACGTTGATTAGTCGTTTATAAGCCATCGATCGGTAACGATTTCATGAGGATTTTGGTCGCTGGGAGGAGGGGAGGTTAGGTGGAGTTTCGTCGACGATAAAAGGTGACTTCCGACGTGAGTTTAGGGGTTGAAAAGAAGAATGTTTTTCTACCCCTTTGTTTTTATTTTTAGTTTCAATGTTAAAATAATCATCCTTAAGTATATATCATTTGACGTTAAAATAATTATGTTTAAGCAAAACCAATGAACAAGAATATTGATTAGTCTGGTGCCCACAGAGTGATACGTGATCGGCCAAATCGACAGGTTTGGGTGATACCTGGGGAGGGTTCCTTGTTTTGAAGTGTCATTTGTCTCACTTTTTTCTCTCATAAAAACAAACACACAATCTCAAGTAGATAGATTTTTGGTCAGTTTGCCTTCTCACCTGTCCAGTTTCATTACCCTGAATTCGTCTTTGTACCAGTGAGCAACCTTTTTGGAGCTGTATCTATTTTGTAGCCCTCACAGTTTACAGTTATACAGCTTTTTCCTTTTGTCATGTTTTTTGGGTGTCTTGGCATCAGCCTCAAAACCTTTTCCAAGGGTAAAATATCGTAGATTTTGTAATTACGATTTGGTTGAATTTTGTTCTATTAATTAACAACTTCCATCTTTGACTTATGGAATCAATTCGGCTGATAAATATCCAACAGAGGTCTACACATTAAGGACGCGGAAGCATTATAGGAGTTATACCCCCCAATATCATTACAAAATTAAAAAATTTAGTATTATTAAAATCCTATTTTATAAATTTTTACCTGATGGCTGCCACCATCATTAATTCATAAAGTTGTTATTTTTCTATATTTTTTATATGTTTCGATTTAGTTCATCAATTATTAAAACATGGCATAAGTTTTTAGAAAATATATGCACAAAACAAAATGAATTGCTACTGTTTTATATCGAATATATATATGTGTGTGTGGAAATGACTACAATAGCATCGAAAAACTAATTTAAATCAAGTTTTAATATAAAAATAAATGAATAAACTATATCATTTTTTTCATTTATGTATCTAAATGTTTTTCGCTCAATTCAAATATCTAGCGTTACCAATATTATTATTTTAAGTGCTCCACCCGTAAAGGCCATTAAAAATTTTTGTTAAGTGATATGAGTTGTATTCTGATAATTTTGAAAATTTTATTTAAAATAAAAAACTTAAAAAATATATTTTCTTTAAAAAATCTAAAATCTTCCAGAAATCTTAAAATAAAACCTAAAACTTTAAAAACTTTTATTTCAATCTCTATACCCACACCAGCCACCGCAGTTTGTCATCGTTGTCTTCGACTGAACCTTCATTCGATCAAACCTTCACTGACAACACAACCTCTTGATGACATAGTCACTGTCACTAGCTTTGATATAATTTCGGTCGTCGTCACCCAATATTAATATTGGGTAAAGGGAGAGGGAGGGAGAGGAGGGGAGAGGGGAGAGGGGAGAGGGGAGGGGAGGGGAAAAGGGCGGCAGGGAGCTGGGGGATTTTATTAAAAAAATTATTTTTAAATAAAATCTTCAAATTATCAAATATGATATGTGTAACTTAAAGGATTTTTTTAATGATCGTTACGGTTAGGACATTTAAAATAGTAGCATTTGTAATGTTAGACATATGAATTGAAAAAAAAAATAGTATAGAAAACTAAATGATAAAACGAGATTTGTTTTGTATTAATCCTTATAAATCAAAGGGGTGATTCTCTTGTCTTTCTCAATGATCCCAATGGCATTTAATTACCACCTAAAACTAATGCTTCAATTTATTGAACGTTGAGATAAGGATGAACCAAATTTGCATTTATGAATGCAGCTGAAACTGGGCTATAGCCTATACTCATCTTTGTATTCAATGCATTTTTCGTAATAATGTGTAGGTCCTTAGAAATTAATTTTACGAATCGTAACATTATGGTCGTTACCACTCATTCATTCCATTTGTAAAATCATATCTTCATAATCATTCATTAATACAACGGCAAAGAAATCTTAGATGTGCATACCCAACGTCAATTTCGTTGGTCTCGAAAAATTTTAGATTTCGTTCATTACCTTTTTATGGGGGGAAACTAAAGAGAAAAAAAATATTATTGTTCAAATTATATGAGAGGATTTCAATCCTAAGCATCATCACTCGAAAAAAAAACTCTAAGTACAAACATGTGTATGAACACTAAATTAGTTGTGTGATTCATTAACTCAATTAATTCAAAATTTTAAGACTGAATTAAGATGATGAAACAAGACTTGTCAACTCGACTAATTTAAAAATTTTGACTCAGCTCATTCTTGTTCTCACCCTCATCCATAACGACCACGATAGTATAATTTATGTTTACAGTCGCAATAAACACAATATAATTGAAAACATATGTGCATTCTAGATCAATATATTAAAATTATTGGGTTCATAAAGGGATATTATTAATTTATCCACTCATTGAGGTTGGGGGTCGTAAAGCATTTATCCCCAAGATTATGATCACCAACTCAATTTACTAATTAAGGTAGGTCCCTTCGAAAGTTGGGTGTCTTTTGAAACAAGACTTTATGCCTTAATTAAACCCAATTATCACACCTTGAGTGCATATATTTAATGTGTATGGTTGAAGTGCCTCACGTAGGCACATAGATGTATCCGAAAGTGTCAGTCAATCAATCTTACAAAGCTTTTTCTTGAATATTTTTTTCCTAAAAGTTGAATATGCTTGCATGAAAGAGATTAGTGCCACAAAACCCTAATTTTCCACACCATTAGTGGTGGGAAAAAGTAGCTTTTCTCCCTCAAACTTATTCTAAGTGGGCTTTCCCCCCCCCCTCTTGTTGCTAACTCTTTAAGGATTCCAAAAGTTAAAAATGAGAAAATATATATATAGAGAGAGAGATGCGATATACTTTCAAACAAAGCTTTTGAGGTGGGGGATTTGGCATCTTTTAACTTTCTCATTTTTTAATAAAATAATAATCATGTTGTTTTATTTGATAAAATAACAGAGTCAATTTCCATAATCGCTAATCGATTATGCGTCTTTTAATTTTATGAAAACAACTAAATCTCATATTAGCTAATTCAAACTAATTTTTTTTCCAAATAAGACACACCATTAGTTAATATATAATGTGAACCTTTTCTTCCCTTTGTTGGAATAACAACCAACATTGAATTTGAACCCTTTTTTCTTCTAAAAGTGATTGTACCCATCTTCTATTGTAAAAAGGTAGGGGGAATCAATGGTTATCTTTTGCTTGATTGGTGCTTCGTCTAATAAGAAAAAAGGGGCATTTGAAAAAGTCTAGTTGCTTTGAGTGCACGAAGGTACCAAAACTTTGTAGATAAAAAGCTAGTGGTAGCTCTCATTTGCTGTGAGTTGTTATGTTTGCTTAAAGTTTGACCTTTCATGACATGGTTATCGTCCGTTCATTATACATGTGCGTGTGAAAAGTTAATTTGCGGGGTTTCGCTTGCACTAGTGAAAAGAGTTATGGGACCCTTTGTCTCATCATGTGCCATCAATTATACTCTTGGAAGTGGCTTCTTTTTTACTATTATTCACATCATCGATTGTGATTTTTGAGAAAAATAATTTATTTATAATATTTTAATTAATTAAATAAAACGAGACATTTAGTAATTAGATGAGAAAAGGAAATGAAAAGATTATTAGTATTTAATTCATTGGTCGACTAATCTAAATCAGATATTATAGAATTTCATTATAAGGACAATTTTTCTAATTTATTTTACTTCATTTACAATATCGAAATTTAAACATTTAATATTACCAAAGTGATTTATAATTTCATCTTGTTAAACTGACAGATATGATAAAAGAATAATTTTTTTAATCATAGGTGTTACATTATTGATGGGGTGGTATAGTAGGAGGATCGATCTTTTCTCTTGTGAAGGAACCAAAAACAAAGCAAGCAAACATCTTTTGATAATGACGGTAAGATACAATAATTTTAATTTTAGAGAGAGAGAGAGAGATTGTTCGATTCAAACGTAATGGAGAGAGATATAGGAAGGTTTCAAATGTGGGGGGAGGCAAATGAGGTCACCTTTTAGTATTTTTGTTTGTTTAATTGAAAGGAATTATTAGGGCATCATATGCTTAAGGAGTGGGTTTGCAAAGAGACAAAACAAAGGTGCTTTCCCCAGAAATTTCCTCTTTCTCAATAATATATACAAAATGTTTTGTTGATGTTGCAATATTAAATTTAAACAATTTGGAATAAGTAGTAGATTTGCAATTTCTTTTTTAATCGGTGGTATCCCCAAGAGTTCTAAGAAGAATAATTCTCTCATTAACCACTGAA